CCTGGGGCAAGGCCCAAAACTGAGACGAAGTCTATGCCAGGGGCAAGGCCCAAAACCGAGTCCCAGGCAGTGGCAGGGGCAAGGCCCAAAAGTGAATCCCAGGCAGTGGCTGGGGCAAGGCCCAAAAGCGAATCCCAGGCCATGGCTGGGGCAAGGCCCAAAACCGAGTCCCAGGCCATGGCTGGGGCAAGGCCCAAAGCTGAAGTGAGGGCAGTAGGGGGAGCACGTCCTAAGACCGAGGCCAAGGTAATCCCTGGGGCAAGGCCCAAAGATGAAACTCAAGCTTGGGCCCAGACTGAGTTTGGGGCTGAAGCAATGTCACAAACAGAAGGCTTGACCCAGACCAATGCTGTAGCCTGGCCACTTGTCAGTACTGAGTCTGTGTCAGTTGCTAAACCTATGGCCCTGTCTGTGGACAGGGAGCTGGTCAATGTGGACACTGAGACGTTTCCTGGCTCCCAGGTTGAGGCAGGAGTCCAACCCTGGTTTGGATCAGGGGAGGAAGCTAATATGGGGTCTTGGTGCTATCCCAGGCCCCGGGCCAGAGAGGAGGCCTCTAATGAGTCTGGATTCTGGTCAGCAGATGAGACCTCTACAATGTCTTCTTTCTGGGCCGGAGAAGAGGCCAGTATCAGATCGTGGCCCAGGGAGGAGGCCAATACCAGGTCCAGGCACAGGGCCAAACATCAGCCTAACCCCAGGTCCAGGCCCAGATCCAAGCAAGATCCCTATATTGATTCTTGGTCTGGGTCTGAAGAGGAGTCTGGCAACCCATTTTGCTTGTGGGCTGGGGAAAATACCAATAACTTGTTCAGGCCCAGAGTCAGGGATGAGGCAAATATGAGGTCCAAGCTCAGGACCAAGAGAGAGGACTTTTTTGAGTCTGAGTCTGAAGATGAGTACTATAAGGAGTCCTGGTTTTTGCCTGGAGAAGAGGCCAATAGTAGCTTCAGGACCAGAGACAAGGAAGAGCCTAATACTGTCTTGAAGCCCAGGGCCCAGAAAGATGTTAATCACAGTGGTAGGGTCAAACAAGAGCCCAGATTTGAAGAGGAAGTCATTATTGGGTCCTGGTTCTGGGCAGAGAAAGAGGTGGGTATGGAGGCTGGGGCTTCTGCCATCTGTGAATCCACACCAGGGGCCGAGGAGGGGGCCATTGGTGGATCCTTGTTCTGGACTGAGGAAAAGTCCAGTTTGGGGGCTGTGGCCAGAGAAGAGGCCAGGCCAGAGTCTGAAGAAGAGGCCATATTTGGGTCCTGGTTCTGGGATAGAGATGAGGCCTGCTTTGACCTAAATCCCAGTCCTGTGTACAAAGCTAATTCTAGATACAGAGATTCAGCTGAGGATGAACTTAAGGCATCATCCAGGCCCCAGACCTGGGAAGAGGTCACTGTTGAATTCAAACCTGGTCTTTGTCATGGGGTTGGCTTCCCATCCCCAGGCTCCTTTAGAATTCCTGAAGAAGCAGCATCTGTATTCTCTGAAATGTTTGAGGGAAAGCCCAAGAATGCAGAATTTACCCCAGAAGGGGAAGACCAGGAATCTTTGCTTCAGTCTGAACAACTTGAACCTGAATTCCCATTTCAGTATGATCCATCCTACAGGTCAGTCAGGGAAATTCGGGAGCATCTTAAGGCCAGGGAGAGTGCAGAGCCTGAGAGTTGGTCCTGCAGCTGCATACAGTGTGAGCTTAAAATTGGTACTGGAGAGTTTGAAGAACTTCTTCTATTAATGGACAAAATCCGAGATCCTTTTATTCACGAAATATCTAAAATTGCAATGGGTATGAGAAGTGCTTCTCAGTTTACCCGAGATTTCATTCGGGATTCAGGTGTTGTCTCACTTATTGAAACCTTGCTCAATTATCCTTCTTCCCGAGTTAGGACAAGTTTTTTGGAAAATATGATTCACATGGCTCCACCTTACCCAAATCTAAACATGATTGAGACATTCATATGTCAAGTGTGTGAGGAAACCCTTGCTCATAGTGTGGGTTCCCCTGAGCAGCTGCTTGGATTAAGGATGCTTAGACACCTCACTATAACTACTGACTACCACACACTGGTTGCCAATTATATGTCTGGGTTTCTTTCCTTATTAACCACAGGCAATGCAAGAACAAAGTTTCATGTGCTGAAAATGCTATTGAATTTGTCCGAAAATCCTATCGTGGCAAAAAAACTGTTCAGTGCCAAAGCTCTGTCGATATTTGTGGGTCTCTTTAACATAGAGGAGACAAATGATAATATTCAAATTGTTATCAAGATGTTTCAGAATATCAGTAATATCATAAAAAATGGAACTATGTCCTTAATTGACGATGATTTCAATCTTGAGCCGCTTATTTCTGCATTCCATGAATTTGAGAAGCTAGCTAAGGAACTACAAGTCCAAATAGACAATCAAAATGATCCTGAAGTGGGACAACAAAGCTAACATGAATAACCACCTGCCTTTGATCAGCCTTATGTTCCCAAAGAGCCCTGAGTAGTGCTTTGGTTTTCACAGTCTGGTTTTTTGTTGTAACTTATATTTTAATGCTGATGTTAACTTTGTCCAATTCTTGATTTGAGCTGGATCATTTTGTGGATGCCAAATGAATATTAGAGCTGAAAACATATTTGTTGATATTTGTCTTGCTGTCCAGATTGCAATATTTTTCAGTATTGAGCTTCTGATGAACTAAGTCGCCTGTGTACGCTACCCTGCTATTTGTTGTTTAAACATATGGTTCTCTATTCAAGTCTGTGTTTTCAATAAAGGTCTATGTGAAAATTGGCAGAAATGACCCTTCAATTTGAAATCAGGTACATATACATGTGCATATTTACAAAGAGAGATAATTAGTATGACAAACATCTTCATTGAAAAATCCCATTCATGGAGTTTAAGAAGGGATTTCTGCAGGCCTGTGGTATTTGAGAAATGCTTCAGCAAAGAAGGACCCACTTAAACTGGTCACTAAAGTGTAGGAGAAGACAGGCCATTAGGTCATTCTTAGAATTGAGCTGTGCTGGTGTGAAGAAAAGTGTGATTAGAAAACCTGTCTCAGCAGCATGGATGTACCCTGTCTGCCTGGAAGAGGTAAGGCAAAATTTAATGAGGGGTGCAGCTGGAATGAGGCCTGCTTGAAAAGCCAAGTCAGCCAAATCTGCACATTTTACAATTAGTACTGTTGTTGCTTCAGTACCACCTGAAGAGTGAAGGAGTACAATAGCACACAAATTAAATGGAGTCAGGAATAAGATTTCCTTTGTGATGATCCTAATCCAAGGAAAGTAGTAAGGAAATATGCAGCTTTTGAAAATGATCTATTTACTGACATGAAATGACACTGATGGTTTTATGTCCAGTGAAACAGAAGAATGTGATATCTATGGAAAATTAGATTCCATTTTAAAAAATATTGTGTGTAAATTGACACAATTTCTATGTAATTTCAATATGCCTAAGAAATTTCATACACTATAGTCTGGAATAAAATACAGCATATTAAAAATTTTTCAGAGACAAGCATTGGGGCTATTCAAAAATTACTAAGATGGTTTTTTTCTTTTAATATGCTTATGTCTAGTGCGTCAAGTTATAGGTGGACATATTGGAAAAGATACAGTTACATAAAAAGATTGAGCTATGTGTTAAATGTTTAGAGATAAAAACATTTAGAAAAGTTGAAAAGGAATGTTTCCCTTTAGAGTGGTGAAGATTGCACAGCATTGTGACTATGCTTAATGCCACTCAATTGTATACTTTAAAATGGTTAACATGATTTAAGTTTTAGGTTATGTGTATTTTCTGCAATAATAAGTAAATAGATTATATCATACCTTCAGACAGAAGAATTGCAGAAGTCAGGAATAGAGTTGGTTTGGAGAGAGAATCCAGACTTATGGGAAACATTTTATTATTTTTAAACATGGTGAAAATGGTATTTCTGTTTTGTCTGAGGATGCTAATTTTTGAAAAGGTAAAATTATAACGTAATTTAGAAATTAGATTAGGTGAAAGACTTTTTTTCAACACGAACTGCTAAGAATATGAAAAATGGTTGAAGGAGATACGTATACATACACAATATAATAACAAAATATATGTATATTAAATTTCTTACACAGAAAATTAATAAATGTTAGGATGTAATTTCTGGGTTAAATACAAAACTAGTTAATATTTTAAGGACAATCCATTGTAACCATTGATGTTATCTGTCCACTGAACATAAGTCCTTTCCATATCTGTTAGACAAAATATCTACAAATTAAAATCAGCTTCTGTGTTGAAAACTTACTCAATACAAAGTGAAGCCCAACACTGCACTAGAATAATATCCAGTAACCCATGCTGTCCTTAGCCAAGTTTGGTATAAATTTTCCGACTGTGCAATATGTTTTTTTTCCACCCGACTCTGGTATGCAAGTTTTATGGAAATAGGGCAAAGTGGCAGTTTTGCCTGCCTTCACAAACCACAAGCATTAACAGGGATCGTCCTGGTAGTGGACACTGGAGTCTGAATGCTTGTTTTGCTCATCAATATTTTTCAAGGTAGACTCGTGTGTGTGTGTGTGTTTTAATATGTCGCCCGAGTATCATACAGAATAATAATCAGTTCGTCTCTAAACTCCTCATCGAGTATTCCTCACCAGCCCCGTGTCCTAACAGAGCAAGGCCCAGGTCTAGCACGAGGGCTGGAAGCTCTGGCTCCAAATTCAGCTTTCCTTCAGCTCTATCTTCACCAGGACAGGAGCTTCAGACTCTTCTAGCAAGCGTCTCAACCTCAGGGACAGAAGATTCTACCATCCGTGCGGCAGGGCTGCGGCAGGCAAGCTGACTGCGCGGTCACGTGAGGCTGGTGGTGGCTCACGTGACCACGCTCTCACTTGGGCAAACACAGAGGTGTGCAGCACGGAAAAGGGGCAGGAAGGACGCACACTTGACGAGTGACAGACTGCCGTGGGAGGAGTGGTAGGACGTTGTGGTGGGCGGCTGGGTGGGTGGGTGTCTCTCCATGCTGCACTAACCTGGAAACGAATTTCTTGGGCGATCAGGATTACAGCGTTTGTTGGTAGAGGGCACAGCCCCTCGGCCTGTTGCCAGAGTCTTAGCCGGGGTCAGTCTTTTGCCCAGGAGCTCAAGAGGCAGGAAGTCATCCTGCGGGAGGAAGACGTGAGAGAAGCAGCGGTTGCTGTTGGAGGAGGTGGGTGCGGGGCCGGGAAATGGCATCGGTGGGAGGTGGTGGCTGAGACTAGGTGCGGGTGCAGGGAGTGCCTCGGACTCTCCTGCTGTCTGCTCTCTCCTGCCTTCTGAACACCCCTCCCCCACTCCCAGCCTCCCCGCCCCGCTCTGATTCTGTTTGTGGGTGTGGGAGGGGGACACACGGAGGGAGTTGGCGTCAGGGGAGACTAAAGAGAGGAAATGGTGAAGTGACAATCCCTGAACTCCTGAGGCACTGGATCTGGAAAGCGGTTGTGAGAATGGTTTAGGGGCCTAGGGCACGCTGCCTCAAAATGTGCCATTTTGGCATGCAGATTATTTGGAGCTGAAAATAAATGAGGCCCAAAAAACTCAGGAGGAAACTTTGACCTCCCTAACTGCCTAAAAATAATTTAGGTTGAGAACCTACTCCAGGAAGAGAGCTACCACCATAGATAACTACAGTATGATATGAACTAGGGGTGGTTGACAGGGAGGAATTTAGCAAAGTATCTGTTAAAATTCCTTTCTATGTCCCATTGTATCTGTATGGCCCCACTAACATCTGTTTGCCAAACATTCATTCTTTCTTCTTTTGAATTGCTTTCCTTCCCTTTGAAGTCCCAAATCGCTACACTTTTTCTTAGTTAGGTATAACAAGTTGACTCATTTTGCCTGACTGTCTTTGGAATCTCATGGCTGTGTGGGTTCCCTGTATGTATGAGGTTAAATTTTATTTTCTCCTGTTAATCTGTCTCGTCAATTTAATTCCTACTCCAGCTAGAAGAATCTTGAAAGGTAGAGAAAAAAATTTTCCTCAACAATGGGAACTATGAGCTACACTTCCTTCCTCTCACATAGTTGGCGCTCACTCTCTACTGTCTATATATAAAGTCTTCCAGACACTGGGGATGGCTGAGACCAGATCAAAATTGGGGGAGGATGGGGGGAAAGAGGCAGCGTTACATCTGTCTTATACTCCAAAGTTCCAGCTTCCAAAAGATCCAAGAGTAGAATGAACCCCAATCTGAGAAACTCTAGGGAAGGGGTGGGGGACAGACTCAGGAGGAGGGAACCTAGAAGTTTCAGGCCCTTCACATGGAATTTCTCATTGGGATATCACCAAGTTCTTCAACTCCCAATAGGATCCTTGGATCTTAGCCCCAGGCAGCAGCTCCTTCCCATCTAGGAGCACAAAAGTTGCTATTCAATCTAAGGCTCCTTCCTCCTGCTGTCCTGGGCCTCAGAGGAGGTTCTTTCTGGGAACCACTGACAGAAACTATTTTATGGACGGTCTCACATGTTTCCCTCTGTAGATGCTTTGTTCTTTTCCTTGTGATTTGTTCTCTGCTCATTTCTTAGGGCTTGTTCCTTTGGTCTCATCCTGGGTACCAGCCCTTGGTAAATCCTTGACATCTTTCTAACTGAATGCCCTCCCTCCCATGCATCCACTGGATACCAATGCAATTTAGGAAGGTGTCGCCAGGAAGTAATGAGTTTTCCCAAACCCTCTCATATCCTTATTTTTATACTCAGTATAGAGTTGAAACCATGCCATAATAATACTTCAGGCCCTCCTGTTTACATTTAAAAGCTAGGACTGAGCAGAGATTGAGGCCTAGGACGACCTCCTCCTCTCTTGCTTCTTGCCTGCTTTGTTATTATCCTCTTTCCCCCACTTTCCAGAATTCTGGTAATATAAGTACTGGGTCCATTGTTCAGGTTATAGTCTTTCCTATATATATATATATGTATATGTATATATATATGTGTATATATATGTATATATATATATTTTATTTATTTATTTGAGAGAGGGAGAGAGCAAGTGATAACACGAGCAGAAAGGAGAGGCAGAGGGAAGAGGCAGAAGCAGACTCCCCGCCAAGCAGGGAGCCCAATGTGGGGCTCGATCCTAGGACCCTTGGACCATGACCTGAGCTGAAGGCAGACACTTAACCGACTGAGCCACCCAGGTGCCCCTAAGAAAGAATATATTTAACCTTTGTTCCTGGTTCCTGGCACAGAGCTTCAAAACACCTACAAATTTCTTGAGTGATAGGAATGTATTTGTTGTGCTAATAAAGTGACTTTGGTGGGCCCCTAGATAGGTTCAGGATGTGGGCTGGTCACCAGTGGGACCAACATGTGACTAGAGTGGGAACTTCAGGTGAGCTGGGATTCTCAGAGAGGGGAGGAGGGCCAGATTTTGGGTTCAGTCATGTGGCCAAGGATTTAATGGATAATGTCTATATTGAATGAAAACTCACGGCTCTGTGGGGCTTCCTGATTGGTAAAAACACTGATATCCAGGGAGGTTGATGTGGCATGAATCCATGGGAAGAGGGCTTGGGAGCTGTGTGTCTAAGACCCTTCCAGATCTTATTCTATGTGTATCCTTTATAATAAAACTCTAATTCTGAGTATAGAACTTTTAGAGAGTTCTGTGAGTTGTTCTGGTAAATTATCAAGCCTGAGGAGGTCATGGGAAACCCTGAATTTATAACTGATCACTCAGAAGTATGAGCGGCCCCCGTGACTTGTAATTGGCATCTGATCTGAAATGGGGCAGTATTGTTGGGGATTGAGGACTGCACCCTTAAACCTATGGAGTCTGATGCTAAGTCCAGGTAGTTGGTGTCAAAGAACTGATGTCAGAACAATGGTATCACACGTTCCTATTTTTTAGCAGCCATCCCTAGATTAATATCTGTCGCTGATCCTATGTATCATACATAAACAAGTTAAAATGTGGGAGGCAGAGGCCACCAGTATATTATGGGTGAAAAAAATAGTATGTGTTTTTGTGGCAAGCACCTGCAATTTAAATTATTTTTAAAGTTTTCTATAATTTCTATATATTTTTTCTCATTAGAGCTCCCTCCACCTAGAATTCCTGTTGGGAGTACTGCGTTTATATTTGGGGAACTTCACATTGTGGCCTGGCTGGATACCTCTAAGTCCCACGTGCAACCTGAAGCAGATACTTAGCCAATTAACACCTGTGGATTTTTTCAATCTCAGCCAAAGGGCAGGGTAAGTGTGGGGTGTGTGTGTGTGTCCCCAAGTATGAAAATGATTATCTCTGTTCTGATCACTCCTTGGGTATGACTTGTAGGGGCCAGGATCATCCATCAGTTTTTTCCTGGGGTGTAGTTGAAGTAGAAACCTCATCACTCATATGGCCCTTTTGTTTCTGCACCTTTTCTGGATAAATATTATGGGCTATCTCAAGTAATAAATGTCAGGGCCCATTCAGATGTTACTTGACTTAAAATGTTGCTGCCTGGGGATAAAATTAGAGCAGATTTGTCATCAGTCCAGTCATGAATGAAAGAAAGGTATCTTTTTACAATACAGCTGGACTATTGTCACTCACTGACCCTCTACTTTGCCCCTAGTTTTAAAAGAGCAACCTTCAATGGAATCTCATCTATGAAATATTACCAGGTTCTCTATGGAAAGTTTCAAGGCCCTGCACCCTTCCATACAATTCCACCTTGCTATCTCCATCTCCCAACACATTCTTCCAAGTCAGAGCCAGGACTAGAATGAGATAAGGACACATTTTAAAGAGGCACTCACTGTCAGATACCTCACCCTAGTCCAAGCCCTTCTCCACTTTGCCTGCACTCAAGCCACATTGGACTATCTGCTTTTGCCCAACCCAACTACACTTCGTGCTTTACTACTTCTATGCCTTTCCCCACACTGTTCCCTCAGTCTTCAATGCTCTTGCAACCCTTTCTGTGCCTATGAGAAACATAATCATCCTTTTAGGCTCAGTCTCAAATGCTAGGGTTTGAAGTCTTTCTGATCCCTTCACCCTTTACTCTTTGCACATTGGTAGGAAGTAATTCCTCCATCCTTTGTACTTCTACAGTATTTTATTTGGCCCTCTTTTAGCATTTGTTTCTTTATATCATGGACTGAAGTCTTTTTTTTTTTTTTTTGAGCAAGATAGAACTAGTGTAGAAGGACAGGTAGAAGAAGAAATTTGGACTCTAGAAGTCTGAATCAAACCCCAGTCTGTCTGACCACAGTGCTTGAGCCTTTTACTACTTGCAGTAGTAATTATTAGTATTAAGATTTATTGGGTGCTTTATATGAGCCAGATACTCTTCTAAGGGTTCTAAATGTATTAACTTATTTAATCTTCAAAACGAACTTATGGAGTAGGTGCTGTTGTTGCCTCCATTCTACAAATGAGGAAGCTGAGACACAGACTGGTTAAGTGACTTACCCAAGCTCACTGAATTGGTTAGCAGAGGTGCTGAGATTCAAACCTTAGTGGTTGGAATCTAGAGCTGGTATGTGTTACCATTATGCTACATCAATATCTCTGTAGTGCTAATTATCACTAAAAGCTGCCATCATCCCCGTCACTAACTTCATCATCAGATTTTGTTTCTTGTAGCCTGTAGCAAAAGACTTTATTCATCATTAAGAAACGTAAGTCAGAGTATTATTAGACCTCTTATTCCCTAGCTCCTTCTTTCTGTCTATCAGCCTACTCCAGCTTTTCCTTCCTTCTCAATTTAATGGTCCATCATGGTCCGTCATTTTTACTACTCTCCTACCTCATCCTCTAGTTCCCGGCTTCACTGCCCTGGCAAAATCTCAGCTCTTGATAAATCCCAAATATTCACCTCTCCTTATACCTGTATTGCTTAGTGCAGTGCACCTGGGGAAAGTTAACCAAATTTTTCTGACTATTGACACTATGAATTTATCTTTTTTGACCTCAGTACAGTCCCCTGAATTGAAAGCAGATAATCTCTAATGTCTACACTGTGGATATTTCACAAGGGTGCATTTTCACACAGTGACTCTGAACTAAAACTAACTGAGCTCAAGCACTTAATGTACTTCTGAGCCCCTTAGATAAGTAAAGGCTTGGGTTTTCTGCCTGAAGCTTTCCTTTTCAATATAGAACAGAAGCCAGTCACAGTTGTCAGACCTCTAGCGATCATTAGGCAAGGTGTTCAGAATCTACAGTTTTCCTTTCACGTGGAAACATGAGTTTCTGACACTGGTTTTAAGACGTAGGTACTCACTGACAGACAAAAGTCAGGACCTATTGCTCATTGAAGAGTTGTTTTGTGCCTAAGCGTACATATGATTTAGGATTGTTCTATTTTTATATGACAAGGAACTCAACTAAAACAACCCTAATAGAGAAATTATTATCCACAGATTGGAAGTACTGAGGCAGAGCAGCCGTGATGGTTGTTTGATTCAGGTAAGGACGCCACTTTTTTCCATCACTTTCTTCTGCTATTCACAATATCAACTTCTGTCCTAAAGCTAGAGGCTTGATATCTCAACAGTTGCAGGTGTCAAGCAATTTCCTGAGGAAGAAAAGGAGACAAGCTTTCCTGATGGCCTTTTCTTATGAGTGAGGGCACTTTCCTCAGAAGTCCTTCTGCAATCTCCTCCTAATGCCTCATTGAGTAGAGTTATATCACCACCCCTTCCTGAACCAGAAGGTAACAAGGGGATGGATTGCCCCTAGAGCAAGCCAACTCACCCCTGGAACTGGGATCAGCCTCCCTGTGCTACATGACTACAAGGAGGAGGGAGGCATACTTATGCAAAAATGACATTCTTTTAGTAAGGGGCTAGGTAAGCAATGCACTATGCAAAGTACTGAGGTTACAGTGACAAAGAGCTCAGTGGCAATATCTTATCAATTATGACCACTAAAAGCCACCATGGAGTTCTCATCTATTCTTTCCTACTTTCCCCAGCCCACCTCATAATATGACTAGATCACAAGTTCAAAAAGGAACTAGAAAGACCTGATACATGCAGGTATTTCAGAATATCAGATACTTCCTAATTTAGTGTGCACCAGAATCCTGTGAAATAGTTATAAACAGCCTCATAAAAACATTAAGTACCTTTTCCAAAGTGACACAAATAGTAAATGGTAAAGTCTCTATTCAGGTTTTGGATTGCCTGGCTCTGAAGTCTGGCCAAGTTCCAGAGTTGAGCCCAGAGGAGAGAGACCTTTCTCTACCATCCAGCCTCTTTAAAAAAGGGCTTCGAGGACTCAGAAACTGGCCATTCTAGTCTAAGCAAGCACTTAGTAGTACAGTGCACTGCCTCCTGGTGGTAGTGATGGTGACAGAGGTGACTTCTTTCCTCCCAGAGTTAAGTCACAGTTGCTCAGACCTCACCACCAAGGACTTTGGTTCTGGAAGTCTAAACTCTAATCTGCACTCCAGGTTATGAACTTAGGGGCTGAGATGCCAGATATAGGGAGCCATATAAATATTCTATACCCAGGAGGGAAAAGAGCCAATATTTATGGAACAGCTCAGTTTTCAAGGACAACTTTATTCCCAGATCTAATACACAGCTGAAAGGAAGAGGACAAATGCTATGTTCACTGGTCTTGCGCTACCCCATTAAAATCCATACGCCAGACTTCCAGGTTCAGCTAGGACATGTAAAGAGCTTGGAAGTCATTGCTCCTGTATTTCCAAACAGAAAAAAAAAGCTGAACAAACTGAGAATCAATGACTTATCTTAGACCCATCAAAGAACTGAGGTTACAGGGCAAATAATCACCCCAAAGTCTGGAGAAAAGACAAATCTGGAGAGGCACAACCTATCTCTCCTTACATAGAGCAGAAACTGCTAGAAACATAAACATGTGAGAACACTTAAATGGTAATTTTGACAAATTGCTAGAGACTGAATGTGGAATAGTTTGAGAGTGGGAAACCCCATGGGGACCTGCAGGCTTCGAGGTTTAGTGGGCTTTACCTCTAGGAAGTCCAGCAGGTTCTCACAAGTGAACATCCCAGAAAGGTCCCCTCATGGTTCTGGAAGGGGAAAATACACTCTCGTGAATACATCAAGAACCATCTCCAGGATAAAACCTACTCTCCAGTGAAAAAGCCTTCCCCTGAGCCTTATCCCAGCTGAGGAAAAGGCATTCCTCCTATCCAGCCCACTCTAGCCTTCCATTGTCACATAAGGAAGAGAAAGAAGCTAAGAAACACTTGTGAAGGTCATAGCCTAGGGACACAGGCCTACAAAACACTGGAATTTAATCATAAGATTATAGAACACTTGCTCTCCTCCACACATTATCACATTGCTAACAAGCCTCCAGTGTCATAACAGTGGAGTGTAGCTAAAAGAGTTGCAAAAAGTAGATTCTGCAAGGAGTGATTAGGGAAGCCCGAAGTTTGGAGGGAGGATAAAATAAGGACACTAGAGGAATTTGAAGACCATAGCACTTACAGCTACAGCAAACATTACCCACAGCCCAACTGCTAACCAGCTTAACTTAAAACTTCTCACCAAAGGTCTCTTCACCTCAGGTCCTATCACCTAATGCATCATATCCAGCTTTCAACACAAAATTAAAAGGCGTGCTAAAAGGAAAGAAAAAGCACGGTTTGAGGATACAAAGCAAGCCTCAGAACCAGACTCAGATATAATGCAGATTTTTGAAGTATCAGGGAATTTAAAATAAGTATGCTTAATATGTTAACAGCTGTAATGGATAAACTAGACAAGTGTATATGGCAAGTGGCTGAGATCCAAACTAGTTCTACTCCCTGCCACATTTCCACACGGCCAAAGATCATGAGAGCTTGGATGTGACTGCAAGAGAAGACTTGATAGGTCAGTTGAAGAAGAGCCAGGACAAGCCTGACCCCTGGCCATGGGGGCAACAGACAGGAAGTATCCTAGGACCCAGTGCGGGTCGTGCCTGGCGAAAAAAGGCCCTCT